AACACAAATAAAAGATTAAGCATAATAAAATCCAGTTAAAACAAGAAGTGTGGTCTCCAGCATATGTGAACAATGGGAAGCTACCTCACAAAAAGGGTAGGAACTAAAGTGATTCATAAATGAATAAGTATACAAAATAATGAATGGCATAAGAATTGTAAAAAGTCTAAGTATCATGAATATGCTAAAGTATAGAAAGTGATAAACACATACCTCGAACGTGTACAAAATTTTAACAAAATCATTACCATGCATTCACAAGTTGAAACGATCAAACTTGACAAATCATCTCAATATTCTACAAGTTACCGGACTAAAACTTGAGTGCAAACAACAACAAAAGAATTAGAAAAATAATACTCCTACATATTTTCAATGTACAAAATTTACAATATATACAACGAACAAAACTCCTCAAGCTAAACACGACAAGCTTTCGGAAAACACAAATTGACATAACAAAATAAATACAAATAACGATATGAAAACCAGGTGAAAATGAACTAACAAGTTGAAAAGTGAAGATTTGAAATTCAGAATATTTCCTTGTTTCAACTTGTTAAAGCATAAATCACCACACACATAAACAAATACAAACAAACATGCTTGTTTTACGTCGTAAGCTCGACGTCTTTATTGTGCGAGCTAGTAACCTCCTCTTATCATACCATGGTATTGTCACACCGTACAAACCTAAAGAAAGTGTCCTAACAATCACACAATAAACGTTATGAAAACGAGATAATTTACAATAATACGTGAAAACACATATATGCATAAATATCATATATAAGTTAATGTACAATTTCTATACAACATATACATTAATTACAAAACTCAAAAACAAAAGAATTATCGCAATGCGAAGATAATAGAACCAATCCCCGACAACGGTGTAGCGGCAAGCAACAAAAGTTTTGGAAATATTTATTCAGGAATTTATCGTATCCATAGATATTATTTATTAAATTCCCGTTCAACAAATCTCTCGCTAATGAGTTTGGAGATAAATGGTTTTGTAAAGAAAATGTTATCAACAGAAAATAAACGTAAACAAAAGTAAAAACTAAGGAAGAACTTATCAAGTCTGCATATAATCTACTCATCACAGACTTAAATCTATTGACCAATTACATTCAACCTAACAATACTCATCAATGTCACTAAGTATCACTCACAACCTAATTCATTTCTAACCCAAATTGAGAGACCAACTGTATCATCAAGGAAATGATCTCTCTACCTCCTCAACAACACATAAGACAACTATGTAATTGCACTGACGATCTCTCAGCACATCACAACCACTCAGAAACCCAAGTAGACGTCAGCTCTAAATCTATCTCTAGAGTTCAGAAACTAACAGACAATCATCCTAGATAAGAATCTAAGAAATATATGTCTATAACAACTCAAATCCCTAGCACAGAGCAAAAATCTAAGATAATAATCGAAAAATATTTGTAAAACAAGTTTAATATAACGCCACGGGCGAAAAATATACATAAGTTCAATGTAAATACATGTACAAACTTAACACATAAAGAATACACAAAGAGGAAGAGAAATGAACCACAAATCTACCGGTTTGTCAGTGCCGACTGATGAGCAATCCACCCTGGATCATCCGTATGCAAGCTTCAATGTTGTTTTCTAAGCTCTAACTATAAAAAAAAGAAGGATGATGGAGTTGGGGTAAAAAATACCTAAAACCACACCCAAAAAATGTGTTTTTACACCTAAATACACATTTCTGAATGTCAAGCATCGTCCGACGACCAAAAAGCGCCGCCCGACGAACAAAACAACATTTTTCCCATGCTACAACTTGCCTAGCGTCTCCCGGAGACCAAAAAGCGTCGCTCGACGACGGATGACAGAAAGTTGAAAAAACCAGCACAACATTCTACATTATTTCGGCCATAACTTTTAAACCGTAACTCCGATTCGCGCCCGATTCGAAGCGTTGGAAAGCTTATTTAATGCTCTATCTAACAATGCCTAAATATCAATGCTTGAATACCTACAAAAATGAGATAAAATCAATTAAACTCTGATATTTACACAATAACACAATAAATACACTATACCGTAATTTATACCGAATATACATTAAAGTTGAGGTTTATTGACCAAAAGCAAACAATTAAGCCGATGAGTGCTAATTATTCACACTCAAATTAACAACAATTTACCACTCACCAGTCAACAAAGGAAAATGAAAATCCCAAGGGGAGCATGCAAAGATCGAAGTCGTTATCTCAATTTTAATTGAGTGACATCATCGACCGTCAACAAAGGAAAATGAAAATCCTAAGGGGAGCATGCAAAAGATCGAAGTCGTTATCTCAATTCTAATTGAGTGACATCATCGATCGTCAACAAAGAAAAATAAAATTCCTAAGGGGAGCATGAATAAAGATCGAAGTTGTTATCTCAAATTTAATTGAGGGACATCGTTGATCGTCAATAAAGGAAAGTGAAAATCCTAAGGGGAGCATGCAAAAGATCGAAGTCGTTATCTCAATTCTAATTGTGTGACATCATCAATTTTTAACCCATGAAAACAAGCACAAACAGAATTACCAAACAAGTGTGGAATGCCTGCTACAGGTCTTTAAATAGAGACTTCGAGCGTACACTCTTTATTTCCTACTTCTTATGATATCTAGAAAGCAATAAAATGCAGAAAGATGAATTGGAAGCAATATAATACCAAACAAATAATAATGTCCATAAAAGCGCAACCAAAGCAAAGAAACCTGAAATACTTCGCGCGAGATAACATCAACAAACAAACAGTCAAAGATCGAATGCTCGGAATAAGTGTCAAGACATCATCGATGTGAAAATAAATCACAATCGAAAAATCAAGCGTATCCGCATATCACACAATAAACCTGCATAAGACTCAAATCCCAACAAGAAAAAGTGAATCACAAGTCTCAAGTAATCGAAAAATCATGAATTAATTCCTAAAATCAAATAAAAAAATTCCAACAAAATTTTATTGATTTCGTAAATTTTTTATCACTAATTTTATTAAGAAAGTTGGAAAAAAACTAAAATAGAACAAGAAATTAGAAGAGTTAGGGGGGGGGGTGTTGTGTGTGTGTGTTTTTGTTTTTTGAAGCAGAATCCCGGGGTTATGGTAGAAGAATGAGGCTTTAAGGCCAAACAACAAAGGTCTAGATCAGTTTTTGTTGTAAGCTAGCCAGGCTACGGAAAAATATGGAACGGGCCTAAGGGAGTCATGGTGCTCGATCCAGCAGCTATCAACATCTTTATTTAATTTTTTATCTATCATTTTTTGTTTATACGAATTAAAAATAAATAAATAAATAAATAAAAAACAATATAAAAAAAAGAACACGAGAAAAAGTTAGGGTTCCAAGTTATCCCCTTCAGTCTGTAACAAGAGAGTTCTCTCTTCTCTTTCTACGACGGTCGAAACCTCTTCACTGCCTTTCAAACATCCATCTCCGCCTCAATTAGTCATTTCCGATGCATAAACAAAATCTCTGATCCCCTCCATTTCCTCTTCGATATTGTTCTCTCCTCTCAGTCCTCACTCTTTCATCTCTCCGTCTCTCTCAAAGACACAGTTTGCAGCGACTATCTTTCTTTAATGACGACGATTTCAACCAGAATCCACCGCAATTGTTCCGATCCAAGTAATTCAGACTTCAAATCGAAACAAGAAAAGAGAAGAGGAAATGTGACTTACCAGCCGGAGTTCATCCGACGCGACTTCTAGATTGACGAATATGACGAGAAAGCTAAAGAACAGTGGTTCAGGTATGCGATTCTTCTTGTTCTTCTCTCCTACTGGTTTAAATCGTGAAAAACCATTTCTTTTGTGATTTTATTCTGTGCGATTTGATGCTACTGTGCATTTTTGAAGTTCTGATGTTGTCGTGTTTCGATGCAGAAGTAGCTGTTGACGTTGCGATTACGTAATGAAGACGGAGATGAAGAATTGCGGAAAGTAGCGATATTATGGTGATGATTCGTGGATGATGGAATAGGAATTGTAGAGATGAAGAAGAAATGAATTGAGATTGAAGGTGATTGAGGAGATGAATATTGAAGATCGAATTCAAAGGGAAAGATTCAAGAGGAGCTTTTTCTTGTGATTTGTTTGGTGATTCTCCCAAAATCGGAGACTGACAAAGACGAAGATGAGAGGAGAAGCTTTTGCAGAGGAATTCAGAGAATCGAAACCATGAGAGGTGAAGTTGTAGAGAGAGAGAGAGTTGGAATAGTGAAGGATGAAGATGAGAATTCAAAGTGCGGAAGAGAGAATCTCAGAGGTGAGTACTCCGATTTTCTATTATTGTGAAAAATGAACCCCCCCTAATTTCTGTTAGAATTCTCTTATATATTTCCAAAATCCGTTAGAGATAAATCATCCTCGGCCATTGGATTCGAAAGTCAGTTTGAGAATCAGTGGTTAGGATTTGTTCTCAAATTCAGTTAGGAAGTTTGTTTTCAATCTGTTATGTTGTTGGTAGTTTGTTATGGCTCTCCCAAATTCTGTTATTCTCCCTTGATTTTTGAGAGTTTTTCTCAGTTTTCCGTTAAGCTCCTTTTCTAACTTCTGATTTTTCTAATGTGTATATAATTCCCTAATTTTTCTGCCTGAATATATTTTCTGGTTAGTATTTTCTCACAGTTTTCTGTCTTTGGTTTGAAACTTGGTTATTTATTTTATTCCCTCCTTTTATGCTGAACTGATACTTATAAAAATTGGGTTTCTCTGCATCTACAATATATTCAACATTATATTCCCTAGTTGCAAAACTTCGGTTAACCATACTCTCTGTTGAACCATTTGACCTTTCATGTTTCTCCAGGTATATTGTCCATTTAAGAAGATATTTCTCAGTGGCACAAATCCACTCTGAAGTAAGCTTTCTATTTTTTCTTTTAAAAATTGTGAATTGGTTTTTTGCTTGGATGAGCTGTTGAATCATTTTTACTTATAAATTAATGCAGGGCTATTGTGTGAACTTGCTCACTTTTCTTTTCCTGTGTTTGCAGCAAGGCATGCTCATGGCATTCTTGTGAGCCTGTGTTAATTGATTGAAGCAGGGCTGTTTCGGTATATGACCATGGTTGATCGGTTTTGGACAAGTTAAGAGGAAGCACGTGAATATGATTGAGACATTCGAAGGTGAGGCATGAAGTTTTAACTGTAGATATGAATCAGTGGAGATGGAAGCACCAAAATGGTAGCCATTAGGTTTAGGATTGTGCATAGGTTTTATGTACGATTTCTTGATGTAATGTCTTGTAAAAATGAACAATTTGCCTTGTTTCTTGAATTCCAAAGAACTACACTTGAACGAATCTGGAGGTATTTGAATTTCAATCTTATGAAATACTTGAATCCATGGCCTATGGTTAATAAATCTCGAGTAACTTTGTAATGAAAGCATATTGGTATCTTTTGCATTTTTTAATAGAACTTTGTTCATGAATGAAGCTTTGAATAAATTCAAATTTTGATGATCTTAATGAACATTTGTAATTGTAACTTTGATGACATCTGACAATCGTGAAATGAATTTGATAATGGTGTATACCTTGTAACTTGTTTTATCCAAGACATCCGCATACATGAATGTTCTAATCTTACACTTTTGAATTTTTTTTTGACATATCAATGTTGATGCCATAGTGAAACAATGAACCAAAACCTTGAATCACTTGGTCACATTGAACTCATAGCACATTTGGATGAACCCCTTAATCCTGAGTCCACATTACCTTGCAATTGGAGCAACTTATCTCAATTGAATGACTAGTGACCTTAGTCCATATTTCAACCAATCAATAGACATATCAAAGCAATCATTGACCAAAATAACTCCCCTAGAAGAAAATAGACATATCAAAGCAATCATTGACCAAAATAACTCCCCTAGAAGTAAAATTCCTTGCTCCCAAAGAATCCACAATTTCACATCTTGTGTAATGATTCATGTTTTTTCACTTTAAACCGTAAAGGCGTTCTAGCTTGATAACCAACAATTGTGCAACGAGATTAAAGCCCTGAGGAACAAATTGAAGACAAATGATAAGACTTGAAGTATGAAATCCAACGACCTTCAGTTGAATCGTTGACAAACTCAACCACCCTGAATAAAAACCATAATCCACTGATAAGTATCATAATGAGAATAAGACGTCGATTCAATCCTCTAAACTTTTTGAAAAGAATATCTTATGCTGAAACTAATTAGGAGGAAACCCCAATTCTCTTGATTTGGATGCACAATAATGAGGAGATGACTTAAGGTATTGAGAGGAATCAAAACCCTAGCTCGTGGTCTCCTCAATTGAAAGACATGATGAAACCTAAGCACACAAAGTTAAAGCCCTAATACACTTATTCTTGAGGAACTTTTGATGAAGACAAATTTGTATCTTGAGGAAATTTGCCAAGAAAAATGTTTGTGATGCTTTTGATCCAAAATCCTAGTTTCATACCAAAAATGATGAGAACACCAGTTGAATCAACTTTGAGTAAGGTAGAAACCCCAATTCATAGAGAAAAACTCTAATGCCAAGAGCCCTTTGATCTCGTAACCATGGAATCAATTATATGCATGAGATGCATATGATGTGACGAGGGATCTTAGGAGAAAAATTGGGGTATAACGACTACTCTTATTTAAGTGTCTTCTATCCGGAGATACGAAGGTTAAAATCATCGTCTCGACGCGATTGAAGATACTTAAATATAAAACAAACCCTATTTTTGGTCCTAAGATGCCATGCAATGCTCATGATCATTGTTGTACCCCACAATTTTCCCTCCCATTCTTCTCTTAAGATGCTATCCCAGGGTTTCTCAAGTACCCAATTTGGCTCAAAATTGACCAGACAGATTCTCCTCCTAGGCAACAAGTCAGCAGTTAGGGTTTTGCACTTCCCAAAGGAAATTGAGTCGTCAAGGTTTCAAATAAGTCATCATGTCTCCTCAAAGTTGTTTAAGTCAGTTTTCAAACCTCACATTGCAAGTTTGCCCAACCCATGGCCCAGATAACTGAAAACGGCTACATTGACTTGAAAACCGCTCTTGTGCGAGAACAAATTCAAACGATTGTAACTTCTTTATTATTCAATATTTTTGAGCGGTTTTCCTTGCGTTTGTTTCTTCTTGATTCCCTCTCAAAATTCTCTTCACGTATCAAGAGCTGATTACGCGCAGAAGATCACCAAAATTCAAATGCGTTAGAAGTCGCATCATGAATTTTGACCTAATTTCAAACAACAGTCGTGATTTTTTTGCCAGATTACAAGACCTTGAGACGTTTATTTCTGGTCATGGTCATATGGGATGTCGTTCATGGGTTTATCTTCAAAGAGTTGGAGGAAAATTTGGCTTGGAAGATTTTTAAAGCTATTGAATCATTGCAAGGCATTTGTGTGATTTTAAATTTTTCTTAACCACAATTTTCCGAGGATTGATGTCATTCTTGGGAGCATGTTCTGTTTGGATAAAATATAAAGATTAAGACTAGCATTTGTAAAAAATCATGATTGTGGATTCATTTAATCAATTGGGTTTAAGCTCTTAAACATTTATTTTGTTTAAAAGTGAAAAATACATGATTTATCCTATCATATGGTGTTTGCTTAAAATGCAAGTTATCAAGCAAGATTTCTATCCAAAGTATTCAATCAAAGTTCGCAAATTTTTGCACAACAAATTCTACTACACCAAATTCTATTTAAGTGTTTGATTTGTTTTAAAAATGAATTTACAATTTGTTTACAAAAAAAATCTCAAGACTACAATGAGAATTTCTTGTTTGCTTCTCCGGGTCTTCATCTTCATCTTCATCTTCAAATGATCGATCCAATCTTCGTCGGCATCCAAGTCTTGCTTGCCGTTCATGAAACAAATCAAAAGAAAAAAAGGATAATTAGCATATATTATTGAAGTTAAACAAGGGAGTTTCAAACAAATATTCTCCTAATTCATCACTAGGGTTTGCTTTTAGGAATCAGAACTTTTTGGTCTATCACCATCTCTCTCTCAATTGCAAATCACAAAAAAAATCATCTTTCTTGGTTCACAAAAAGAGAGAAATAAAGCTACAAGGCAAGCAAATACAAACAAACTGCCCGAAACTGCAACAAAAAACTACAAGGCTGCAAACAACAACAATCAAATACAAAACAGGGGCAAGCCTACAACAAATACAACCTGCAACAAGGAAGTCAACAAGGTTGGGCAAGCAAGCATATCAGCTAGTGAAAACAGCAACAACAAACTGCTATACAAAGCAACACAAAGTAAAAAAAAACAAGCTGCCAAATAGAGTCAATAAAACCTGCAACAAATACATAAGCCCACAAAGCAGAACAAATACATCATAAGCATAACAGTAGCAAACTAACTTGCTCACATGTCATCATTTCCCTATTATCACAAACCCTTTAGAAGTTTATAAAATAAGCAGAAAATTGCTTTTGTTTCATAGAAAGAGGAAAGGGGAAAGATGAAAGAGATATCACCACAAACCAATGCAGAACAAAATCCTGCTAAATCCCAAAGCCAGCTCTGCCCAAACTCAGCCCAAATATTGCACAAAAGAGGCAACTTAAGGCCTGCACCTCAAGATTTCAAAGTCAGCATATCAAAAAGTATTCAAACCCTAAGATTTTCCCCCCATTTTTCACCTTGTTTCTTCATATAATACCAATTGTTGTTTCACAAACAGGGGAGAGAAAGAAAAAGAAGCCAAGGCAATACACAAAAACAAAACAGCAAAACCAGAAAAGATATAAACCAGGAGCAAAAACCAGACCAGCAAGGCCAGGAAAATATACGAAGACCAAACCTCACTGCAAGATCAAAGGCCATCCAAGAAAAAACCATACCAAAAATCCAAACCAATATTCATTATAACCAGCAAAAAATCACAAAAAACTCAGTCAAAATTTCAACAAACCCTTTGTCTCAGTACACAAAAATCACAAAAAAAACTCAGTCAAAATTTCAACAAACCCTTTGTCTCCGTACACAAAAATCACAAAAAACTCAATCAAAATTTCAACAAACCCTTTGTCTCAATACACAACTCAAAACCCGCAAAATCACAAACAAACTCAAAACCAACAAACTTCCATAAACCCTTTTGTCACTCTCAACTCAGCATCACAAAAATATAAAGAACAAGAGACAACCTTACTCAAGTCAAGCTATTAGGGACTTCTTCAGAATCAACAACTCACAGAATCAGAAGAAGAAACAAAAACAAGATTCGAAACACACCTTAGAAGCCGAAAAGAAAAGGTAATTCATCTTTGTTCTCACCCTTTCACGATTATAATAACATTCCGATTTGGGGTTTTAGGTTTCTTTGAGATGAGTTTAGCTAGAGACCGTGAGATAAAGAACCGAGAGTGAGGAGCTGAATTATGAGAGCTAAGAGAAACAGAGAATGCATGTTGAGAGTATTCGCGAAGAGAGAGACGAGAGGCGTTTGATTAGGTTTAGGGAGCAAAGAAGAGAACGGCGAGAGACAGAAAGAAGACTGAGGGATTTTGTTTTCCACTTTTAATTTACATATTAACTTAACCCAATCTGATTTAACTATTAAAACTTAGGTTTAGTTCTTTTGTTTTTTTAATTAATTTATTTTAGTGTCATTTTATTTAATTACTTAATATTAACTTAGGCTTAATACATTTTAGGTTTAACTTTTTTTAATTAGCTTGTGTTAGGATAATTTTTATTTAGTCGTATCTAGTTTAATTTAGATCTAGTCAATAAATTTTAGAATTAGTTTTATTTAATTAGTTTGTTTTAGGATAATTCTATTTAGAATTTTTTTTAGATTACTTTAAATGACTTTTGTAATTTAAATTTAATTTGTTAATCTTTAATTAAAAAAAAGGGGTTTAAAAATCAATTTATTTTCTCATAAACAAAAATACCCAAATTTTTTTATGCTTTGTCAATTAATTTTTTATAGACTGTTATAGTTCTAGTTAAATTGTTAAAGTTCGATGTGGTTGTATTGTTTGCTATTTGAACTTGGTGATCGCGTTCGACTCATCCCCATTCATTAATTTGTATCCCCCATTCCCGAAGCTCTGTAATAGCGTAAAATTTCAATTTCCGCATTTTATTGTTTACTTATTACTGTATAATAATTAGGCGTGTATGGAAAGATAAAAAATAATCGCTAGATAACCTAATTTCAAAGATAAAATTAACTTGAATCAAACACACTTTTTCACACGCACACTTCTAGGGTAATCTCGCTTGTTGCCTTTGAAATACAGTCATGTCCCTCGAACATGGGACGTTTTAGCAAAGATCCTTCGATAAAAAAAGATCGTAGTCCCTCGATGACCCTCGATGTTTCCTCCATTAAAACGATCTAGTCCCTTACGAAAATTGCTAAAACGTCTCATAAGTTACTTTCGATGAGATAACAACATCTAAAGGAGGAAG